CCCCCCGTGTTGTCGCCCCAGGGATCGCCCAGCAGTGTCGCCCGAAGGGTTTGGGGCGGCAAAGGGGTATGGGGTAGCCATCTATTATCAGACGGCTGACTGCATTGGCAGCGGCGACCAAAACCTATCGGGATCATCCAAAATGGGAAGTCCGTCATTTGCCGTTCCTGCGGAATAGCCTCTGCCTACCAAGCCCCCATAGCGCCTGATGGGTAGGCAACATCTTGCCCGCTGTGCATGCGTGTACTGCGGTGTGGCCTACTCCAACTCTCGCAGGCGCCGAGCTCCCGTAATTTCCTGAATGACTTTAAGGAAAACGGACTTACTCTCTGGACGATCTTCTGCGGGAATTCGGTGTATAATACTAACACTTTTCACTTTTCTCGAATTTTCTTCATTTTACGAACAGCCCCGGTTTCTAACATGAAAAACCTGGTTCGTAATACAAAGAACCGCTTTGTTTGTCAGAAACTTACAGAGCCGGTAGTGACGACAGCGTCGTGTCGATCAAGACAAGAGGGCATGATCCGGTCTCGTGCTCCTGGAGGGAGCGGCACAGAGCCGAGCTGGTCGGCTCGCGGCGCTTGGGTTGGGTGCGAGACGACGGCGATGACGGTGACGCTGTTGGTGTGGCTTATGATGGTGATTAAACGTCGTGTCGTGGGCGCGCCACATCATCCATGTCAAAAGTGTCGAATGGAACGAGGCAATATGTGCCACAGAGCTGCAGTGTTACCACCGCCACACTCGCAAAAAAGTTTTCTTATCTTAAAAAATGAAAGTAACACTGGTAAAACAAAGGTATGATATATTCATCATTTTTAAGGCACGAAAGCTCCCATAAAGGCATTACAGTTTAAACAAGGTTAATAAAGGTTAATATTCCACACATTTCGTAGATGTGAGGGTAACCCCTACGATTTTAGACTGAGTTAAAAACAGGTCGAATGGCGCAATAACATACACAATCGTGTCTTTCTCGTGCCCCCCCCCCCCCTTTACATACTCCTTCCCTCCTGTACTTGGGCACGCTCCTCATTAGGCGCTGCTGAGGGAGAGGGAGGGGCGACGCTGAAACCCCCGCAACCCGCCACCAAGGCGCCTCACGGCGACGTCGTGACGGCTCGGTTAAAATCATTTTAAAACATTTTTTTAGACAGTCCCCAAGACTGCCCCCCCCCCCCGCCTCCCCTGCAGCATGCTCCACATCACAGCGCCAGCGCTCACTCGCTGCCGTTGAGGAGCATGTGTGTTCGCCTTCGTCCTTCGTGGACTGTCCTCAATACGTGGGTGTCTTGGTTTGCTCCAAAGACATTCACGTATCTGGACGCAGCTCTCGCAACTTGTCGGACTGTTGCGCTGCGGTGCACAAAACCTAAGAGGGGGGCTTCGTAGACTGGTCGAGGGAACTGTCTAATTAACGGCTGTACCCACGGTTTTTCCCCTTCTGAAACGACAGGGGATAGGGGTGAAAACGGACAACGAAATTTCTCAGAGATCGCGGAGGTGGAAAGAGGAACGATATTTCGGTCTGGAGAAACTCACATCCGTGTGTTTTAAGAGCTGTTAAATAAATTGTCTAGTACTTTGTATCTTAAAGTTATTACAAAATGTGAAATGGATATGATCTGTCATAAAACAAGTCCAGATGCAAGTTAACAGATAGAATTTATTGTAGGATAGTAGAAAAGGCAACACAGAGTGTCCAAGGCAGAAAGGGTTTCCAACTTTGCAGTTGACTAAAAAATGTGTCCCAATTTTCAAATAAATGGTACAGATTTAAAACATTACCATTTACATCACAGATCAATCACAAAGCATCCAATATTTTTTGAAATCTTACATCTGGAGTGGAGGCTCATTTGCACGGAAGGTCTGTCATTTATAAATGATACACGCTCGAATCCACAGGCTAAAATTACCTAGCAGTAGTCTCTTTGCCAACTACATACCATAGTATTGACAGTAATGTTTTGGGAACGAAATTGATTCACTAAAATCTTATAAAATAGCGCTTTCCAAAGAAGATGGTGAAAAGAAGATCTTCTGTCCGTAAATACAGGGTGTCCCATAGGACCCCCGAAATACATTTTGAATAAATCGCATGGAGGAGCGCGGACGGGCTTGCCTACCGTCGTTCACCGAGGCGCCTTGTGGCGCCGAGCGAGTAGGCAACCCACAACCCACAGGCACGCTTGAATATTATAGCCAAAATAAATTACACGTGGAACACCCTGTATAACAGACTATTAGACGCTATGCTGGTAATCCCACTATTTGCACTTATGCAGCCCAACAATCCAGCCGATTTGTGTATCAGAGTGAAGATTTGAGACTTTGAGTTAACTTTTCAACAATACAGATTTTAAAAAATTACTTTCAAAAAAATTCCAGCTAGACCTTATGAAACCATTTAAATGAGAATTTTTGTCATGGTCATGTTATAAGCAAAGTATGTAAGCAATTAAAATAGTTTTGCAGGAAATGCACAAAACACCATTGCACAATAAGATTTTATTAAAGACAAAAGTAAATGCATTATAATAAAAAATAAGAATTCTTTTTATAGTATCCTTTCTGTTATCATTATTGCATTAAGAATCATTAAAAATAGTTCGTACAGTGAAACCCGGTAGCTTGCCACATCAGTGCGGCGTTTTACGCAGAAGCGGGAAAACGATAAAAGGGCGATTTGTGCAGAAAATTGCAATTTGCTATATGGGAATCATCACATTAGAAGTGGGAAACGCAAAATCCAGAAAACGCTTATAACGGGTTTCACTGTATGTGAGATGTTCTCGGATGATAAAATAATTCAAGCAAGAAAAACACATTGTTGGAAAAAAATTGTAAATGGAGCATGTCAAGATCAGTATATATCATGAACATTCTATTAACCAGATACTTCGTACTTCCTTTTTCTTATTTTAAGTTAATTTGATGCTTAGTTCAGTTACACATTAAAATCTCCAACATTGCTCAAGATTTTGGTATTTTAAAAAACATAGAAGTCCATGCCAAGAGGTAATTGTTCCACTCTTATAAGTACATTTAAATAAGTTTGAATCAACATGTAACACAAACATGTTAGGGTTTTCAGTTTAAGGTTGAGCTTTTGTTTCAATGGAAAATGAAGAGTGCATAATACGCACAGCTCAAGTAAGCTCACATTCATAATTCGTCAAATGGCTGTCATTTTCTGTCAGATAGGTAACTAAGACTGGATTACACAAAACTTCTGAAGTAATGTATTCACGTTTATTTACCAAAGACTTACTTACAAAATAGTATAGATGTATATTTATATGTAGATGAACATACTGTGGATAGAATTACAGATATTTAGAAAAAGAAACTAGCAAGACATGGTAGAAAAGGTGCCAAGCATGAAAAAACAATATTTATATATTTATATATGTAGCATTCCCTATGAATACATAGATACAAATCATAAAATACCATATCAATTCAACATGAAAGTCATGAACATTAACAGATGAATACTAAAAACAGAACCCAACTTGGAGGTTCTATTCATCATGGACAAACAAGACATCTGTGAGTAGACTTAAAATATTCCATAGATGGCACCCCCAAAAATATTGCACTATATAGAGAAGTGCAGGGTAACAGTTACTTCCTTATATTTTCCCAAAAGACTTGAAAAGCTAATTAAAAAAAAAAATTCAAAGGAAAGACAATAGTCAACCATTTCCTTGTCACTTGACGCTGTGAAGCTCTGAGGGTTTCAGCGAAGGCTAACGACTAGTAAAAGTAAGAAAGCATCTGACAGTCTTCCGGAAAAATGTAAGAATAACAAATTTTATTATATAAAGAAGAGCTCATGGGATGACACTGTAAGTATAACACAGGTCGGAATAACAACCATAAAAAGTTTAACAAATTGTGCTAGTTATAAACAAGATGTGGCGGTAAAACTCACATCAATTCTCAAGTACTCAGATCCCTCATAGTGATCATCTACAGTCTTAGGGGAAATGGTGAGGCATTGGTATCATGCAATGCAGCACCCTGAGGAAGGGTCATACCAGGTAAAAATGTTTTCTGCTTTCTCACACAGTCCTTGTGTTTAACCCGGTTGAGTTAAACACCATCTAGGATGATTGAGGTAGCAGTGCAAGAACGCCAACAGTCGTAAAAAAATTACTATGCAATCAAGTTTTTCTTTTTGGATTAATTAGTGATGACCACCAACAGTCAGAGAAGTCCCCCATTTTAAGTACTAAATGTTGTAAAGCTCAGAATGAGGGAATGAGGTACAGTATTGCGTTCATTATTTGCTATGTTAGGTACCACAATATGGCTTAAGTTTCAGAAGCTATTAAAAGATGGACTCAAAACATGCAATGACAAGATATTTCCAACTAGGAAAGGACTATGGTTTATAGATAACAAATTACAAGAGTTTCTATGCACAACTTCATGACTATGCTGACGGGCTGATGGAATTCACCGCAGGGGTATACTAGACTGACACCGAAGACATTTTCATCTAAAACACCACAACCAAAGGAGTCTTTCCTATGTAAAAGAATTCCAATGATCAGTGGCACAACATATTCATATAAAAAAGTCAGGGAGAGAAAGTTTTTGTACCATGGCTACAACACAAATTATACAAATCACAGCCAAAGATATGCTGGGGAGAAAGAAATCATAATCTCCCTTTCATATGGCAATTTCTGATTTAAGAGCATAATCCACATCTTATGAAGTAACACTAATTTGGACTGATAAATAATAAAGAAGAATTGCCCTGATTAAGAATATGGCAAGAGTTCTCGTTTATATTCATAAGTCCACCATCTATGACCAAAAGGCTTCAATCAAATTCAAAAAGGAAGAAGTCCAGCTTGAGGTTAACAGCAATAACCACAATTATAATGTAAGAAAAGTGTGAGTAAACTAACGTAATTTTTTATACTTTGGCCCAACTTGAATCATTTCAAATTTATCATTATTCAACAGGCCTTCACCCGTACGCTATTGAAGGCATCTAGGGTTGCTTTAATAAATTAAGTTTCAAGGTAAGTGTAGAGGGAATAACCTGACAGCAAGTATCAACCAAAAGGCATTTAAAGAAAAACTGACAAAAAAAGGAAACACACATTATCATCTTCTGTTTACTTACATCATCAATAATAAAAGAGACACTTAATTATGTATTTAGGATGGCAAGAGTATTACTCATTCTACTTTGAGGTTTTAATGACAGACCTGTTCCAGTTAAAGGGAAGCTTCTATGAGTTTTAAAACCTTATGCAAGTAAAACATAAGTAGTAGAGGATATGATAAAACACATATAATTCAAGCAGGTTAACAGCAACATTTGATTACCGTATATTATACTAGAACAAAAGTTGATAATTTTCTGTTTGGCATATCAATTACAGGATAAGAAAGACTGATTATTTACCTTAACTGGAAGCATGTGACAAAATCACATTCTGATGTAGGGACTAGGAGAGAGTATTGAGCTAGCATTTTATATTTGAGTTTGCATCTAAAACAACTGGGGTTAAAAGGACTTTTGAACAACTATAAACTGAGTTTGAGAATGAAATAAAGAATTCAACCTTAACAAAAATTTCATGAGGTGGCATAGAAAATTGTTACACTGAATTCATGTTTAGGATCATATACAGTACACTGGAGGTATCAAGTTTACAAACGATCACTCAAAGTGAACAACTCTCTTTCAAACCACAGTATTGGACATAAATTAGTTTCCAATCAAAAGAAACGTGAATTCTCAACAAGTCAGGCAATTAATGGGTGAATATTAAACAGGAAGTCTTGCTTTGACTGCTTCGACAGTCTTACGCATGTTCACATACATACCTTCAGTCACACATAATTTGGCTCTCACAAGCACTCAACTTATGCAACCACTATCATTCATACTTATCACATGTGGTAGTTCTGATTGCTACACAATGTGCAATATACCTCTTAGATTGGACTGAGTTGTACACTGATATCAGCCCACCTACTACTGGAAACCTGTTCACATGATGCTTTAAACCACCCATACAACAAGCAGACATGCAGAAAAATAAAGTACTCACTGACTTGTTTAATCAGTGCATAAATTTCAAGCGCTGTATTGGTAACACAAAAGAAAAAGGATAGCTAGGGCTCTGATACTGAGAGCTGGGCCAATAAACCAAATGGGGTACCTTTGTGTTATTCCAGCCCCTTAAATGTGCTAACAGACTTCAAACACATACAATGAACAACAGTATGTAAAATAAACAAGACATATCCCCAGTGATATTCACAATTTCTTCACTTCATTACAGTACCAAGGTTGATCTACTAAAGGCAATGACTGATTCATTTAATTAAAAGTCTTCACGGTGCAGTCCAAATTAACAAAAACATGCACAGCAGTCAGTAGTCGAAAGAGTGTCCAGCGCTCTCCTTGGACCTTGCCAGGCAGGCCTGCTGCCAGGCGTAGGAAGAAGTGGAGGACAGCTTGAAGCGGCACCAGAGAGAAATGCAGTTGGACACAACTCAGCTGATTCTGATCATCAGCAAGAGATCTAGAAATAATTAAGATGTATTACTGAATTAATTTTACTGAAGTGTAACGAGAAAGATTTCATCAGCAAGAAGATGGATCTACTGACATTAGCTCTCACCTCAATCATGGAGTTGAGTCAAATCCTCTAGAAGGCTCATTGGCGAGCTGTATTGCCAGATGAAGGGGAGGGATCAGCCTTAACAATGGGCTTTTCTTCAACTGCAGGTGTAGGTGACGCATCTCTTCGAGGAGGCATCCTTTCATTAATTGCATCTAAGCCCTTGGCCTCCGCAAACGATGTAATCTTGTGGTTTGGAGAAAACCCTTGCAGGGCTGAAAGCAAAATTCACCAGATTAATATAACTACAAAGGCGGAGACCAGTTCTAAATGATTAAATGTTGCTATACCATTTTTAAGAGATGTTTTGCCACCTGACAAGGCTCCAAGAGGTAGGGAACCAGTGGGAGTAAGACCCTTCAGCTGAAGAACGCTCTCACTCTCCTCTCTGTAACATAAGTCATAATTATTATAATATGGATCTAAAACATTTAATGCTCATTTTTTCAAGTAAAATCAATCAAAAACAACTATGTACCTGAGGACAGAGAACACTCTGGCCATTTTTCCAATGGCTCGAATCTTGTTACGGATTACTTCTTTTCTAAGATTAGCTGCAGCACCTGAAATGGAAATTATTATTAGATATCTTCCATCACTAGGAGTCTCTATATAGTAGACAGTTAAGTTTCCATTTCTTGCTATTTCTGTAATTATATGAAACTAAATGGATTGCCTTTGCGTCTACTGCCAAAGATCACAGCACATTTTATACCCCCCCACCCCTTACCCCCAAGTTGTGCACAGAAAAATGGCCAGTACTTAAGTCGCACTCAACAGTAACTCTGCTAAGACCATGTATTCCTTTAGCAGCTAAGCTAAACATTGCTACTCTACGACACACAACTCTTAGTTCAATGTGAACATAAAAGTATAAACTATATATTTTAGTTCTTCTAATCCATTATTTACTCTACGGCATTGCAGTAAACAAACAGTGCAAAACAGATAACTTAACCAGCCTCCAAATATATATAGATAGAATATCAAGCCTGCATTTATGTCACAAAAGAAGCTATGCAGGATCTAGAAGTAGGTAATTGACCTATTATTCATTCACAAATTCACAGCATAAAACACAAAGAAAATCACAAACACGGAAACACATCTAAAACGGAAGAATTGATCACTCATTGAAGTATCAATGAAGAGGAAAATTGAATATGAACAAATCAATAAAGCATTCACCGCAGAGCTCGATGAAAAATCTATTTGGTAGGGGGTACGAGGAAAGTTAGCACACTGATATTTTATGGTAAATGTTAGAGACCAGGTTGATCAGGCACTTATTGTTTCAGAATCAAAATAACCAGAAGTAAACCTCATTAAGAGGAACGTATATACGGGAGGTTTAAGTTTTCTTTGGAGTGATAATGAAAATCAATCTTCATTGGTTTGATTGAAAGAATAAATGAACACACAAAACCAAGCAGCATATCAAACAGACACTCTCTTCACCCAGGCACAAGATGTACAACAATAAAATTGTTTAGAGAGCAACAAATAGAAGGGCATAGCTAATATTTATACGTCGGATAGATAGTACTATCACGGACAGAAGATACTATTTTTGAGTGTTACTTAAACACATTTGTCCAGATAAACCCTCAAAGTAAATAGGAAGAAGAGTGAGGTATAATTATAGGTTTTGGCTAAGACACCATTCTGTAAACACATCTTGTGATATCAACAGGACCTCAAATTTTTTATAAATTGAATGCACCTAAAATTGCATGACACGAGCTTTTTCTTGTTGAATGCGATAGTTTGTCCAAAAAGTTGAAATTATTCCAAAATGAACTACACATATTCAATAATCAACAAGGTAATGATAAACAAAACTAAACAGTTACACAAAAATCCATACAATAACATGACTTATTTTTTCTTTTTTGTAACTGGAAGCAGAGAAAGAAAATGCTTATATTTACAGAACTATGCATGCAGAAAAAGATAGTAAATCGTGCAATACTATCTTCCCACCTCCACTATTTGAATGTCAAACACACACACACACACAAACACACGCTGACACACGCACACACAAACAAACACAAAGAAACACATCATGTGGCTATGCACAAATGTATCACTAAATCTATCTGGATGATAGAATTGACCAACATCAGAAATTTGTAGTCAATTAAAGCGTTTTCTAAAATCACCGCACTGCCAGTACACAGCAGAAATTACAAGCAAAACACTGGTCTATAATATTAAACACATATCTGATGCACCACAGCAACTCACCCACAAATCAGTTGTCCAACAGGTCGAGTTGGGGATTGAGATCGGCAGTAGGCGTATCATTCGGTCGCGAAAAGCGTGAAATTATGGGAAGAAAAAAAAGTGCAAAGTGTGAAAACCATTACTTCATCAAGTACAATATGAGCATTGAGTATGGCTGATACCATGGCATACGTAAACATAATATCTCATCAGCTTCAGAAACATTATCAGACTAGTACCAAGATACACAAGCAACATCAATTGATGTATGTACAGCGATCAATTGCCAGCGACCAAATGGCAAAAAAGAAACAACCATAATTATGTAAAATAGAACAACATTTTAATGAATATGTCAATAGTTGGAATGCAACTAACAGATGAAGCCCCTCGATATGTCAACTAAATAAATGTAGTTTTACTAAAGACGTGAACTCCATAATTAAGAGAAAAAAAAGATACGAATGAAAACTAACTGTGAATAACAGTATGGCCTGCAGAAGAGGTTTGAAGAGAAATATACTAACACTGCACAGTATGACCAAAATAAAATAGAATCAGTGCAGATAATAGCTAGGTGATTGGCTTGCAAGCATGCATCTTGATTATTCCACGGTCAAAATTTCAAAATAATATTAGATTTTCTGCCCCCACTACAGAACAAAGTAAAAGAGGACAATCAAAAAAATTTTACCGGTATATAACTTTACAGTATCTTGGCAATAGTCTCCCCTGTGTTTACAATGTTAAAAGATTTCAACTTACATACTATGTATTTCTATCACTGCAGCACTCATATTAGGCAAAAATGATAAATAGAACTCAAGGGTTGCTTTGACCAAGCTGGTTGAGTAAATTTGCAGCATTTCCAAAAACAGAAAGTACTGCAAGTGTACTCTATATGTATCTATTCTCAAAGTGATGCATTACTAGATTGGATGAATCAAAAATTTTGCGCGGAGTCTGCTGTTTACAGTTTAGGATGTGAAATTTAATGTCAAAAATGATGTCAACAATAGATCATAAAAAGAAAAGCGCAAGGCTGTGTAGTAATTTGGATTTGTGAAGCTATATGATTAAATAAAATGACACTACAACCTATCACATTATCATCATCACACAACAAACCAGGCATTAAAAAAATGGAAGAGGAAAAGAAAAAAAAACTTGGGTAAATTGATGCACAAAACATTAGCATTCCAACTTTCATCACATTTTTAGCAAGTATACAGTAAACTACACATGCGATGAGGACTTGCCTCAAAAGATTTATAGAGTTCTAAAATATATGGGGATTAAAATAACTCCAAAGCATCACTTTTTGCTGCAAAAATGAAGTCAAGACACTTGAAAGACACAATACTGCAGATTACGAGAAGGAGGGGGAAAGGTGTCAAAGAAACAGCCTCTATTAATTCCATAGAATAAGAATATCAGGGAGTAAAAGTGGCTTTCACAGGCACATGTGTGCCTCAAATGTACATTTGAGGCGATCTGCTATAATAAACACAGTAGGGTCCAAGGAAAACCACTAGCAACACTATAGCAGAAAAAGTTACTGAGTGGAAAAATCACATATCTTCAAATAATTTGTAGCAATACCCAGTGCTAAGACATGTGCAGAAGCATTGGACTTAAGCTCAGGAGAACATTGTCATTCAGAGGTCAACAGGAACCTGACAGCCTAAAAGCTAAATCATAGATAGTCACTAATAAGACCTCATGATGACTTGTCGTCCTCACTGGAGGAAGGGTGCTGAGTTAAAAGATTAGCTTCTTTAATGAGAGAATGTCCCTAAGCATTTTTCAGCTCATCATCCTTTTCACACCGAGGTAGCATAGTTGAACATGACAACACAAATGGCCGGCCCATACTCAGTTCAATCGAGAGTTTATCATGGTTCCATCAATGTTGGTCATTTTGGCACAGAATGATTGCCAGGATCAACCGTGTTTTCAATCTACATTTCAAAAACAGAAAAGAACGAAGAGGAAAGGTACAAGTGAAGGTTAGAGAAAAGATGAAAAGAAATACAGGAAAAAGAAATCAAGGTAAACCAAAATTTAGTAAGTGTGTATTCAGTGGTTTTATAAAGACCAAGTGAAACCTTATATGTTTAAAGAAGAAGTACCACTTTCATAGGAACATTTTCTCCAAAAGTAACAAAAAAGAGAAAAAGAAGCTTTTATTGATATTGAAGATTTCCTCATCATTATACATTAACCTTTATGCATAGCAACTGTGATTTCCTCTGTGAGGGAAGGCATGTTGCACTACAGCATGCTGTTATTCATTATTTTGAAATAAAACCAAAGTGATTAGGCAATAAAAGAAAAAAGAAAACCTATCAAAGAAATGAAATAGTCAAAGATAGAAAAGATGATGAAAAGAGAAGAAAGGCATCAGAAATCAAATTCAAATATGTCCCTTGCAGAAAAAAAAGAAAAAAGAGGACTTGATTAATTTTAAGTTTGTCAGATATAATGAAATGCCTTTGACCTGTAGGCATTCTAAGGAAAACACAGAGAGTTAAAAGAATCTGGGAGTAGATAGATTTTATGCAAAACTCTGTAAATGTTACCTAAAACTTTGATGACAAATTTAGAAAAGGTTCCAAGAGTTCAAGGGACATTTCTGATCATGTGTCTGATAAAGTATGTAGTTAAAGAAAAAAAATATGAAGAAGAAAAGGGGGAAAGAAGCGTGTAAGGAGTGGCTGACTCTGCACTGCACTCAGTTAGATGGAAACCCAAGCTCGTAGTCTCAATCATGGGCACTTACCACTCTTACGTCTTAAAATAACTTTCGCTGAGGGAACCGGCATTTGTGGGGTCCAAGGCAAAAGTAGAAGGTAAAAGTAAGAAGGCAAATCAGAAAGGTGTACAAGTTGGAAGCACTGAGCACTGAGTGTGACGAAAGTGAGCAAGCATTTCACATGACATACACTCAGTGCTGGGACCAAAAATGTCTTATTGAAATGGTAGGGCTTGAAATTTTACAGATCAACACACTGTTTCTTTCTAAGAGGATACAACTCTTTCAATCAATATCATTTTGATTATTTGAGCACATTTTTCTTGTGATAACTTGTGGCCACATCACATTTGATGAAAATATGAGGATGGCATTCAATGGGTCTCACATTTAATTTTGTAAAATTGTAAGTTTTGGTGGTAAAGGTTCACTAGAGCACACCACAATTAAATCCATTACCACCGTAGATACTAAACTATTATTTCTGAAAAAATATTGATGATATTTTTTTTTTT